TCGTGGCATCACGCTCGTGGGCCTCATAGGCCGCAATCTCTTCGGCGGTATCAGTGTCGATGTCAATCTCCTTTAGTTTCTCATCGAGGACATATTCTTTGTCGTCGTAGCGAGTGACCATGCGAATGTTGCAGATCCAATTACTGAAATTGGTCCCATCAAAGATCACTTTCCCACACAAGTTCATGAGTGAGAATGAACCAGAGGAGTTTGACCCAGAAGCGTTGTTGTTTGTGTTCGACATCTGAAAAGGAAAAAGAACAAAGTTGATTAGAAATGAATTTCCCCAATTAATCACCCAAATGAGAAATTAGGGCTAGGAACCAACAACATTATTCACAAATTAGAAAAGGGATGCCGTAATCTAACAAGTAAATAATTTGAAGGCAAGTGAATGTCGATTCACTAATTCTCCACCATGAAAAACGAAAAAGGAAATTAGGTTTTAAATGTATTGAAAATTCCTGGATACTTTGAGATTCATTGAACTTTTCAATGGCATGTTTAAATCTCGATATGCCCCTCTAGTTTGTGACTGGGATGCCGAGGATCACAAAGTGGGTGTGAATAACCATGCAAATGTACATGGTGCCCTCATTGTTACAGTCACCTATTCGATGTGCTGGTTAACCACACACGCTCCATCGAACTATGACAAACAATGAGTCACCCTTTGCTACCATTGCTTAGAACCCAATTAATGTGCCGGTTAACCACACGCGCTCCATTAACGTCTTAGCAAGGGTACAAAGTGTAATTTCATGGAATTGCATCAAATTCACTTTTTCCTAAAGTAACTAAGATTGGGAATTTTGTAAAAACATTTAGCTACTTCATATAGATTCATTATACTTTTAATGAGGAAATGTTTGCCCGATCCTACCCGTTCGGCTAACGACCCTCCACCAATCATGGAAGCGGTGAGTGAGAATGGACACCCATTAAACGGCCATTTTATAGGTCATAACCTTATACCCCCCTTATAGATTAGCTTCGTGAATGAGGCCTACTAACGGTAAGACTAGCATTTAAGTTATATATATATATATATATATATATATATATATATATATATATATATATATATATATATATATATTATATTCTTATAATAGTATAAGTATAAGGTTGAATTTTAAAACTTGTAAAATTCTAAGGTTTGAAATTTAAATAGTTCAAATTAAAACTTTTAATCACAAAACTTAAATTTCAAAACTTGAGGACAAATTTTGAACTTTTCAAAACATAAAGGATCAAATAGCAAATAATGTAAATTAACTAATTAATTTAATGATTATCTAAATTTGACCTAGTCAATATTACTTGCAAGATAATTCAACAATTAATTCAAATAATCAATTACTATCAAACAAGGAAATTATTATTTAAACAAATTGTAATTATCTCTTGTTTTGTCAAGGATATAGTCAAACATATGATAAAATTCGGATTTTATTAACCCAAAACGATTTAGGTAAGTATCCTTAAGCAAAAAGCAAGAAATCCCGAAAATCACTCTGACAGACGCTCCGACTCGCCGAGTCGCATTATGGACTCGCCGAGTTCATACGACTCGCCGAGTCCACAATGGGACTCACCGAGTCTGTCAGTCAGGGGCAGAAAAAATCGATTTTTCAAAGCAAGAACAATCAAACAACGCATCAATTCAATAGAAATCAATCTAAGCTCTGATACCACTGATGGGTTTGAGCCATAAGAACTTTCCTATGTGCACATGCAAACCCTAATGCTTGGATCTAGGTTTCTCTAATTTAACATGCAATGTATCCAAGACTTACAATTCTAGATCTAGTGAATACAATAGAAACTTGACATATGAAATCAGATCTAGATGAATACCTTTGATTGCTTGCTTGAATCTTCTTGTTCTTGGAGCTTAGAGTCACAATGGTCACTCCTATAATGGCTTAAAATCACCAACTAGCAAGAGGTTGATTTAGAGAGAGAGGAGAGATTTAGAAATAGGCTCTAGGGTTCCCAAGGAAACAAGGTGGCCGATTTCTCCAACCCTAGGGGTTTATTTATATTGTGAGCTTCTAGGGTTACATCCTTAACCCTAATTGAATAACTTAATCCCTAAGCAATCCAAAGATCCTTCTAGATTGAGGCTTGGACGAATTCAAGGAGCCCATACTCCTTAATTTCGGCCACCCTATAATTCATAAGGATCCATAGCCCAAAAACTCAACTATCACACATTTGACAGTTTAAGCCCCTTTATTCAATTAACCTCTTTTAGTCACCTAATTAATTCTTAATTAATCTATGACTAATATTAATCAAATAATATTATTATTCCTTTAATATATTATTCTCATAATATATTAATATAATAATATATCTTCTCTCTTCATAAATCACCTTGTCAAGTTGCTATGGTGAAGGCAACCCAAAAGGACCATGCACAACCGGGTCAAGTACTTACCAAATATAGTTACGGGCTTAGACACTAATCCAACACTTTTCACTTGGTTAATTATGACAATACCATAAGCGATATCATAATAATCAAATTCACAAATAACATTGCTAATATTAGAAACATAACCAACACTTTCATAAATTCCATTGCAAGGAAATAAGAATAAGGAAACCTAATAAACCAAAATTTCACTTTTATTAAAAATAAACAAAAAATTGAAACTTGTCCTTACAATTTATAAAATGAAAAACCATGTTTCTAGACATCTACTAAGAGTAATAGCAATCCATTAAATTATCCTAACTCCTAAGTAGTAGCTCCAAATTTTGATCATTAAACCATGTGACCAAAGTCCATCTCTCACAATCAAATTTAGCTCACTCTGATTAATATTCCTTCTTTCTCTTTGATCCTGCAATAACAACAAAATGTGAGCATCACATCATGTATTAAGACTCTATGAATAGGAACTTGTTAAAGCAATGGAGTTTGATAATGGATATACCTGAAGCAGAGTCACACAACTTGACTTCACTATCTCTGAGATCTTTCAGGTATTTTGGCCAGTTTCGCAAAAAATGTCCCTGCAATTGGAAATAGAAACAAATGGACTCTTTGGGGTTAAAACATGGAACTATTTCAGAACTAGACTTTCTTTTTGCCATATGATCAAATTGTTTGACCTTGGCCGACCGCTTTCCATTGGGAAAAGAAATATTTTCTGGACCACCATTGTCACCATTTTCAATGTCCATGGAAACTTTGGAATCATACCCTTTAAGCACCTTTGCTTCAGATGCGATCTTAAGCATTTCTGCTTTAACACCAATCAACATTTAGGTCAGATCAACTAGGGTCATGTCGATGTTCATCATATGAAAGTTCTGAATGTATTGTTCGTAGGAATTTGGAAGCGAAAGAAGAACCAAATCATTGGCTTGCTCACTTGGGAAAACGACACCCATTCTATCCAACTTGTCAATGTACGATTTCATTTCCAGATCATGTACACACATACTTTCCATATTGATGTCTACATGCTAATAGAACTTGAGTAGTTTCGTATCTTTCAACTCGAGGAAAACTCGATGTTGGGAGAGTCACTAGAGGAGGAGGTGGAAGAGTAGAGGAAGCATGATGTCCAGTTCCACCGTTTACCGAAGAAGAGAAAACATTTTCACTATGATTAGAAAGTGGAAGATCATATTCAGAAGGAAGAGGTAAACCATTTCCAAAGGAATGAGGAAGACCATTATTGTCTTGACTTGACATGTATAATGGGAGAAAAGAAAATTGAAGTTAGTTGATTTTCATCCTTAATTATTAACCCATAAATTTTAAATTAAGGCTAGGATCCGTATTTTCGATTCAAACTTTGAAAAGAGATGTCGTAGTCAAATTCGAATCTATTTTAGGTAGGTAAGGCTTTTACCAATTTCAATCTTATGAAACTCCTATATCTTTTGAGATTCATTGAATCTTATCAATGACATGTTTAATCTCTGATTATGCTCTCACTTTGTGACCGGGATGCCGAGGATCACAAACAAGATGTTAATAACCATGCAAAGCCGCTTGGTAACCTCGATGTCATTTATCATCTCATATTGATGTGCCAGTTAACCACATATGCTCCATTAACAACAATAATTCTTGAGATGCCCGTCATATCTCTTTATAGTCCCTATTAGTGTGTCGGTTAACCACACACACTCCACTAACAACATATAAAGCATGATGTGCATTTTCATGGATTAACATATTTTCATATTTTCCTAAAATAACTAGAGTGGGATTTTATAAAAGAGTTCTAGTACTTTAATAGAATTATACTTTTAATGAAGTTAATGTCCTATCAGATCCGTTCTGCTAACAACCTTCCAACAAGCAACGAAGTGGTGGGTAAGAGTGGACACCCATTCAACTAACATTTTATAGGTTGTTTCCTTATACCCCCTTATAGTTTAGCTTCGTGAATAAGGCATACTAGCGATCCGACTTACTTAACTTATACATATATTAAACCTCTAATTATACATATAGTATAAGGTGTATTTTAAAAATCGTTTAATTATATAAATTAAACCTTTTTAATTTAATTTAAATTCAAGGCAATTTATGGATTTATTAATTATATTTTAATTAATCATTTAATTAAATTAACAATAAGATCCATAAGGATAATATTAATTAATATTATTTATAATCAATCATTATCTAGTCTAAAAATATCTCATAACATTTAGGGTTTTATCTAATTATACTTTAATTAACAATTAAATAAATTAATTAAATCATAAGGATAATTCACAAATACAAGATATAGGATATCAAAGGGTTAATGACATAGAAAGGTAACGTAGTTTAGGGTCTGTACACATTAAGGTAATAATGTTCTTTTCGTATACATTTGCCAATTGAACTTGTTTGACCTATACATATTAAGGTAATATGACCGATGATCGTAGGTTTTTGCTGATTTGGCATATTACGTGGCATTATGTTGTATTACGTGGCATTAAATGAAATTACTTGGCATTTTTTACACATTATTTAAATGGGAACTAGAATTAGGGCTCATAAACAAAAAACCCACCGCTTTCATTCCTTTGTTCCATCGTTCCCCTTTCTCTTCGTTCTCAATGTCGAACCTTTGCAATTGAAATCACTTTCTGTTTCTTCGACTGTAATGACGAATGGATCATCCCTCATCGTGGATGTCCACTATAATGGTGTATTTTCCCCCAACCCCCTTGTATATTTCGACCCAGACATCGCATCTGTACGAGATGTCTACTTCAACGCTATGGTATTTTCAGATTTCATTACATTCCTTGAAAAGCTCACAAAGAAGATCAACTTCAAGGATGTTTACTACTGTATTCCACATGAAAGGTTGAGTGAAGGGTTAGGAGTAAGTCAGAATGAAGGAGATTACAGAGAGTTCCTTGAGGTTGGTAATGGAAGCCAAGAAAAAAGAATTAATGTGTACATTGATCAGTACAATGAACCCATTTTCGATTGGATCGAGGAGGAGAATCCTGATGAATATGATTCGGTTGTAGAGGATGAAGACGAAGTTGATGAGTCTACATTTTCATATGCGATTTTACCTGACCATGAAGATGATGAGGTGGTGTCAAGTAAGAAACCACTTGATGATTCATTTCTTAATGCCCTTTGTCCTAACAAGAAATCAGAAGATAGTTCCGACACAGATGCAACAGACGAAGAAGTTGATGTGAAACCAATGTATCCCGTCCATGATCCAAACCAAAATTGGAAGAAGATGGTTCCTATACTAGGTATGAAGTTTTCTGACCCCGATGAGCTTAAATGTTTACTGAATAATTATGCTGTTAGACATGGATACAGTTTATGGTATGAAAAAAGTGATAAGAACAGGTTGTTAGCTAAATGTAGCAAAGGTACAACACATAAATATCAATTTAGACTCTAGGCCACTTGGATGAAGGACGAACATTCTTTTCAAATTAAGTCACTGAAAGATGATCACAATTGCTCCAGGTCATTTAAACTTGGAGCAATTGTGAGTTATAGGTGGATTGGGAAGCATTTTGTTAATGAAATATCACAAAGACCAAAAATGAGCTTAAGGAAAATGAAAGATAAAATTTCCAATTTTTTTTAATATTAATGTTAGTTTGGGGCAGTGTAGAAATGTAAGAAGGTTTGCATTGAGTCAGATTGAAGGTACTCCGGTTGAGAATTATGGAAGGTTGTGGGATTATGGTGAGGAGATTATGAGGTCTAACCCAGGGTCTACGGTAAGAACGGATGTGGACATCATGTCTGACTCAACTATATATTTTTCAAAGTACTATGTCCGCTTCAAAGGTGTTAGGGATGGTTGGATAGAGGGATGTAGAAAGGTGATTTGTGTAGATGGTTGCTTCTTGAAAGGCTTGTGTAAGGGTGAGATTCTTGCAGCAGTGGGTAGAGATGTGAATAACAACATCTACCCTATCGCGTGGGCTGTGGTAAATGTTGAGAATAAAGTTAATTGGAAGTGGTTTCTTGACATTCTCATAGATGACATTGGAGGGGGAAATGGTAGTGGACTTACTATCATTTCAGATGGACATAAGGTAGTAGATTGCTTATTTTTTGCTTTATGCTTTTTACTTTTTAATTGTTTAACATTAAGTTTTACATTCACCAACATGTTTTAATTTTGACAGGGATTGTTAGAAGCTGTGAAAGAAAGGATTCCAGAAGCTGAGCATAGGCAATGTGCTAGGCACATCTATGCTAATTTTAAGAAGAAGTTTGATGGTGAACATTACGGGAAATTGTTTTGGACTGCTGTAAATAGTACCACTGTACCACAATTTGAAGAAGCCATGGATGGAATTAAGAAATTAGACCCGAATGCCTATGATCATCTTATTCAAAGGGAACCAAAATCTTGGTCAAAGTCTTTCTTTGTAGAAGGGAGGAACTGTGATGCTATGGAAAATGGTGTCTCAGAAAGTTTTACTAATGCAATCAGGGATGCTAGTAGAAAGCCGATCATTACAATGTTGGAAGAAATAAGGGTTTGGGACATGGAGAGGATGTATAATCAAAGGATCATGGGTGAAGAGTGGGATTTGGATATTTGCCCAATAATTAGAAAGGAGTTTAAAGATAATAATATAACTCAAAGGTGAGTAATATAATGTCTTAAATTTACATTAGCTAATGATTGATTTGATTTGGGGTGTTAACTTGCTTTTTTTTTTTTACAAATTTTGGGGAGTTTATCCAAGTGGCTATCAACAATTTGAAGTAAGATTTAGTAATGATGCATTTGCTGTGGATCTAATCAGAAGGGTATGTAAATGTAGAAGTTGGCAGTTGAGAGGTATCACATGCTTGCATGGCTTGGCTGCAATTGAATACCTGAATCATAATGCAGAGTCGTCAGTCCTAAGCCCTTTCAACCTTAATTATATAACTATATCTATATAGACATGATTTTGACAATATATAAGTTTAAAAGAGTTTTGTAAAACGATAAAGAGTTTATCATATAAAAAGAGTTTTAACCATTTGAATGGTTATTGATGACTTGATGTCAGTCTATAAAATGATTTGAAACAATTTGTTTGATAACACAGTTTTGAAGTATGAGGAATCTCTTGTTTTGATAGTTATAAATCACATGTGATTGACTATACAACTATACGGTTTTCTACTTGTATCCCCCCATAAAAGCATTTAAAATCATTAAAATATAAGTTTAGGGGTATGAACTCACCTGTAGTGAGTGATTCGAATGAAGGATCGATATAGGATGCTAAATATGCCAAGTGAAGTCTCGAGCACAAACGGATCCTATTAAGCATATAATGACACACATATGTATATAATTAGTGTATATAACAACTAATCATGTAAGGGAACAACCTTAGGTACTAGGAAATACTTGTAATGAAGTGTTACAATCTCATATGATTGTATGAAAGGGTGTTCACGGCCACACTATAAATGTTTACGACCATAAGAGAGTTTATGGCCACACATGAAGTGTTTAAGGCCCTAGGCTTGGTCCTATGAAGGGTTTACGGCCATGGGTTGATGGGTTCATGGCCACCATATGATCTATGAAGGGTTTATGGCCATGGGTTGAAGGGTTCACGGCCGCCACATTAACTAAGAAGGGTTTACGGAGCTAACAAGATCACTTGAAGGGTTCTCGGCCACATGAAGGGTTCACGGCCGTGAACTCGTGAAGATGATGCTTAAAAGGTTTTTGTTTCATGGGGATTCAAGAGCTCCTAATGGATAACAAGTATATGGAAAGGATACTTACGTTTTGGAAGCTTATAGGGTGATTACGACCCAAAGAACAAGTGTGTGTTCTTGGTGTTCTTGGTGATTTAAAGATCTAAACCCAAAATAGATGAATTCATGGATGAAATCATAGGGTTTCACTTGAATAAGAAGGATGTCAAGAAATAATGGAAGAACCACTTACACTTTTGAATATCAAGGATGATTTCCTTGATGATACTTGAGAGAGTTTGAGTGTTCTTGACTTGAAGATGTGAGAAATGAAGAAAAATGAAGGAACTCTATACTAGTAGAAAGGGGTTTACGGCCAAGCTTGGGTTTATGGCCGTAAACCTACTTTGGGCCGTAAACATCCCTTGATGGATGATCTTGGCTCAATTTGAAAGTCATACATTCCTTACTCACAATACATAGGATTAAGTCCTATGTGTATAAGGCTTAAAACTTCTAGAATAACCCTTAGCAAGGCTAAAAGGTAATAGAAACAAGTCTAACTGTGATTGAATTGAATGGCTTTACAAAATAGAAATTTCGGGTTGTCACATCATCCCCCTGTTAAAGGGAATTTCGTCCTGAAATTAGAGTTTAAGCAAATATAGATAAACTAAGGGAAAAGATGAGGATAGTTCAGTTTCATTTGATTCTCGCGCTCCTAAGTGAATTCAGGTCGTCGCTATGCATTTTAAGCGGACTTTCACTATAGAAATAGGGATCTGAATAGTCCTAACGACTGCGTTGTCTAGGGTTTCCATGGATTCTTCCACATAGTTGAGGTTCTCGCTTACCTCGATCAAAGCGAGTGGAATAACAAAAGTCTCGTTGGACGACCAGTTTTCAAGTTAGAGACGTGGAAAGTAGGGTTTATTCTATTTGGATTTCTGAGGTAGTCGGGGTCTATAAGCTACTGGATCGACTCTAGTAATAATCTCAAATGATTTTACGTACCTTGGATTTAGTATTCCACGCTTTCCAAAGCGTATTATGCCCCTCCGGGTGAGACGAGGTCACCAATCTGGAATTCCAAAGGTTTTCTCTTATCGAAGGTGTTAGCTTTTCTGCCTGACCCTGGGAGCTTCACGTCGCTCCTGGATCCATACTCTCTTCTCGGTAGTTTCTCGGATGAATTTCGGACCAGCGAAGGTGCTGTCTGGAAATTGGACCTCTAGCTAGTTGCATGTCGCCTACTTTAATCTAGTGCAGAGAGGATCTGTACTTGCGAACAAAGCGGGTTTCAAATGGAGCAACTTTAAATGCTAGCATGGTCAAAGACTCGACTAGTTGATAAGTGGGTATTCTTGTTCTACCAAAGTCTATCACCTATGCTCTCCGTACAACTTCTAATGATTGAATCGTTCTCTCATTCTGCCTGTTGGTTTAAGGATGGTAGGCTATGCATCATGGATGGCCAAGTTTCCAAAAATTTCTGAAGTGACTGCCTGAACTCGGAGATGATTCTACTATCTCAAACGGAGATAACAGATATTGGAACACTGTGCAGTCTAACTAATTTCTCGGGCACACGTCCTAGTTAACTTCCCTATTTGCATGATTCCTTAAAATTGTAGGAAAGGTGCGGATTTGGCTGATCCAACGACGATCACCCAAAATGGCAATCAAGTCCACCTGTTGCAATGGTTAACTTGATTATGAAGCTCTTTGTAATCCGCTACAACTTTCTCTCAGGTATCTCCGGTGGTTTGTAGTGAGCCTGCGGGCATTTGCTCTGAAGTTCATGATAAGACTCATACTTAGGTCATCCACCATCACCTCGTATATACAAGTCGTATATAATTTATATTGACAAATGTTCGGATGGGTGGCTCTTCCCCAAGTCCACAACCAGACAAGGAACAAGAGATAGGGCGGAATCACACATCCTAAATATGGTTAAGTCTAAATTATATACCACTCTTGCGTATACACTTAGCAGTGATTGATTAACCTAATGAGTTCTTAGTCTCTATTCTTAAACTTGGCATGCGGTACATGTGGTCTTTCTTGAAGATCTACTGGTATACTTCGGGTGGTTACTAACTTCAGAGACATCTTTGGTGTTTTTCGCTTCAAGGTTATTAATTATTGGGTAGGTTAGAAGGGCGTGGTACCCCTCGCATGGGTACTTCTGAAGTTATGAAGTGAGAGATGATATAAGGGTTTGCGTTATGGATCGGAAGAATTTCATCTGACGGTTGATTGAAGGGAAGACTTCTTTTTACATAGTATAGAAATTTTGCCTGGTAAGGACCAAGCTAAACCATGTCGGATGATGATGTCGGGACTCCTTGATGAATCATATATTATGTTAATTGGAAGCAGAAATAATTACTAGGACGATGAACTAACCTTGGTATGACTACTACGAACCCTATTTTATCAAAATTAACAATTACAACTAAACGAGGGTTCTGATAATTTGAAACAACGAACTTTCAAGAAATGACTCCTACTAGGTCTCTCTATAACTGTTTGTTGTACACTAGCCATGTATAATTAGTTAATGGGGTTTGGAAGCGTACCAAAATGATAGCAGGGTTCTTTGATGCTTCCCCTTATTCTGGGGTCAAACTCCTCCGGCTCCCCCGCTATTCTTCTCTGTTGGACAGTTCCTTTTGAAATGTCCTATTTCACCACAAAGGTGGCATATTGGACTGGTTCCAACATAAGTGGTTGAAGTAATGTGTCGGATCGGAATTCTACAGAAACGGGTAGTGTGCCCGTTTCTGTTGCAGTTCATGCAATGCATCACTCGGCAGACTCCCAGGTGACGGAAGTTGCACTCTTTGCACTTGGGTAGATTTGCAGCATACTGCCTTGCTGGGGTAGGGGTAACCGGGATATTAGTAGAAACAGTAGTAGGAGTAACAAATGTTGTGGCCGCAGAGGCTGCCACTGGTTGTTGTCTCTTGGCTAACTTTTGAGGTGATTTTCCCTTCTTCTTATCCCACAACATCCGTTTCTTGTTGTTAATTTGGAGGTTCGGAGTATCGTTGCGAGTGGGCACTCATTGTCGTACTTGGTTATCACCTTGATTGGGATTTCCGATAACAACTCCACTACCATTTATGTTGTTAGTGTTAAGGTGAGTCATACCAGCTGTTACGGCAGCTGAGACCGCAGCTTGAAAGGTAGCCGTATCTATCTGAAGGATTGGTGTTTTGCCAGCAGTTTGGTTTCGTTTCTTCGGATGCATGATTCTGTTACATGATAAGGAAATGACTTCGTGAGTGTTGATGGTTGGCTCTAGATGTATCCTAATCATTTATGTGAATGTAACTTTTTCATTTTGTTATACTGTCCTCGATGATTCGACCAACATCCCTATGATGCAGTCCTGGTAAGGAGTAGAAGTAAGTTTCTAGAATGGTCATAAGGCGGGTGTCATTCGAACTAATTTATCTTTGGTTGGAGGATATCATGTTCCAACTTTCGAAAAGATTTGAAAGT